CCCCAAATGTTTTGATCAAAGACTGTGGTCATCACTTAACTAATTAACTAAGTTCGTGTAATGGCTTCTAAGTTGGATATAAATGCTTGCGTGAGTGATTGGGTCGTTTATTGATTTGTATTTTAAGAACTCTCTGACATACGGATCCTGCCACCCCACCCCACCCCCACCGCCGCCAGCACCTAGCCTACATTTGGTGAATTGGAAACTGAATTATGTCTATGTATGACAGCTCTCTGCAGAGGCCTGGAGGCTTTAGGCTTTAGACCTGTGGCCAAGCCTTCTTTTCGTGGGCGAACAATAGGAAGGAAAAATAGAAATAATTTAATCTCCTGAAAGATCTCAGGATCAACCAGATAATCTCTTGAGATCGCTTCTTCTGTCTTTAGATTTTATTTTAATCATAGTTAACCTATAGTTCTATACCTAGTTAACACGAGGCTTTACTGGAAACATGCCAATAGTGCCAAATTCTTTATATTCATTTTTCTTTAGCATTCCCTTTCTTCTGCTCCACCCACCCACCCATGGGCCCTGGGAGAAAGATCTGTTCTGTCTGCTTCTACAAGGATAGAATGGGGGTTCTTCTAAAGCCTCAATGTGGTTTCATCTCCCAGTTCCCTGAGTCTCCAGAATCAAGGGTAACTCCAGAGAGTGCCTCCCCCACTTCCCTGGCCTTTCTATCTGGGCCCTTTAGGTTTTTCACACCTTAGTCACTGCATTAGGTGCTAAGCTCTCCAAACTCTGGCCCATCCAGTAGATTCCTCAGCACAGAACTGCCCAGCAGCTCCTGGTGCTCATCCTGTGCATTGCAGGCCCTTTAACACGGCTCTAATTCTACAAGGTCTCATCCTCCACTATGTGCAGACCCATCTCCTCAGTCCCTTTAGTTAATTCTTTGCAAGCCAAAGTACTTGCCATTTCTAGAAGGTTCTGCGACCCTGTCTGCATCTCCTTCTTTCACTGTCCCATATCCTTTCATTTTGTGTTTCCTGGGATTTATTGTAAGTTTAGAAATTGTCTTTGCCTGGCAAGAGTTTGGCTTAATGAATGATGATGAACAAATGGAGTTCAGGAATCTGCCTGAAACAATAGACCAGTTCACTTGAATTGGAAATTTTTACCCTAAGGTGGCATTAAAAAAATTATCTAAAGGTGGAATGATGGGAACAGCACCTGACTTATTCATACTTTAATGACTGGAAAGCCACTTATTAAATTACTTTGTCTTTCAGTATTGAGGACTACAGCTTACCTGTAGTGAGAGATTGATCATGCTGATTGTGAAACCCAACTGAACAAGACTAGATTTTTTTGAAAACGAATGATTAAGAAGGAGCAAAGCAACCTGAATTCAAACGTTCTGATTTGTCTAAGTCTTGCCCATCTTCACCTCAGTGTCTCTATGTATTTTCAAGGCCCAAAACTCTCCTCATCCAGAAACTTGCCTCTATCAGCGAGGTTCAGTCTGTGGGAGCCCTGTCGCCCCTCCATATCTCTCCCGCTTGTCCTCCCCCTCCCCCCCACAGACATGCACCACACTGTTTTGTGCCCCTTTCATTCCAGGAAGAGTGGTCAGGTGCCTAAGGACCTATCCCTGACTCCAGGGCTCTCCCAGTCTAGCCGGGATAAAATGCCGCACGTTTTATCATCACACTGTCTCTATTCCATTTAAAATATAGCAAAGTCCTGTGGCAGACCAAGGGCCCTCTACCCTGAAATTCAAGAGTGTCCTTCCAGGGCAGGGAATTTCTGAGTACTGGGCCTTGGTAGGTAGGGTGTGAAAAGGGGGGAACCCAAGGTATGATAAGAGATGTGGAATTGCATCCGTGATGCATGGAAGAGGAGGAGTGAGAGATGAGACTACAATAGTACACGGAGGACAGAATGAGTTTTAAAACAAGACAAGGAATTAGGGCTTTATCCAAAATTTGAAAGAGAGGCAACTGAGGTGTTGTAAACAGCAAGTAATCTTGAGGCATGTGTTAAAGGAAACTGTTGGTTATTGCTCCTTGTTAGGCCATTTGCTTAGCATGCTCTAGGCGCTAGGTTCAGTCTCCAGCATTGCAAAGAAACAAGCCAATAGCTAACTAGCAGACAAACTAACTAGCTGATTAACTCATTACTTAATCACTCATTCCATTCATGACTTAAACAGCTAGCAAACTAACTAACTTTGGTTCTATAACGAAGGATGGCCTGCAGGAAGGATTGAACTTAGAAATAAGCATTAGGGTATATCGATAGGTCTGGATGTATTAAATTTTTTTTAAGATACTTTACACGGTATTCTTTATAACTTTGAGATGGCCTAGTCTATACGTGTCATGTTAATGAAACTTTTTGAGTTACACCTCAATTGGATTCTGACAGGAAGATCCAAGAGGGTTTCCTGGCAAAAAACCACCTGAAACACCAAAGAATTCTGGAAGCTATACTTAGAGTATGGATTCCTGGTAGTCCCTAGTCTTCAGCTTCTTAGAGGCTGAGAGAGAGGATTAGCAAGCTTGTAAACACACAGCAATGCATATTTGAAGCCATGATCATCTTAGGCCTTTCTTAGGTTCTCGCATGAGCTTCTACTTTATATGCTGCGGCAAGCTCACATATGGCCTCACGCAGTCTCTTCAGTGAGGGGTGAAGGATGTCAGGTCTGTTTTATAGCTATCCTCAAGTTCCAGGGACCTACCACATTAGCCCATAGAGTGGAGAATGTTAGGTCTGTTCATGGGCGTCATCTCACCTACCCAGTCCCACTCCAGAAGAATCTCGCTTTTGCAGTTGCCTCTCCCTGGAATATTTTTTTGCCAAGTTATTCACAAAATTGACCTTTTTAAGTCTTACATGTCACCTCCCTCAGGAAACCTTTCATGATCATGTCATGTCCTCTTACAGATGTTTGTCTGTTATTTCTCCTGTTCGTTTGGGTGCTAAGAACCAGACCCAGGAATCCTGCATGCTAGGCTATAACTAACCTATTCCCCCAGCCCAGGTTACTCCCTTTAAAGTTTATTGACACCCACAATTGTACATTTATTATTTTCTATCCCTCAATCTAAGATATTAATTTCATGAGACTCAGTACTTTTGTCTTAGATAGCCATGGCCCTTGAAAACAATTTCTGAAAAGCTGAGTTTTGTGCACAATCAAAAGATAATTACTCGGGGCCTAAGAGGATGAATGGGTGAATAAAAGTCTCCAGAACCCCGCCTGTTTCTGGCCCCATCCCGCCTTCATATTTTCTTTTCGCTGCCTGGTACACAGAAATACAAACCACTGAACCATGTATTTGGGGTCGAAGTTGACTAACTCTTTCAAACCAAGCACTTACTCAGGGTGGAAAAACCCCAGGTCTCTCTTTCTTGGTGACAGAGATTGTTTGATTCAGGCTCCAAGCTCAGATATAGTATTCGGGGTGCATGATTTTTTTTTAAAGCAGTCATTCCTTTAAAATCTCTCTTTAGATATGTGCCTTTTCTTATTCATTCATGTCAGCTAATATTTAAAGCAGCATCTTGGAGTTCATATAAAGAGACATTGTTCTTCACCTTTTCTATTTGCCTGTGTTTGAAACATCAGCCATTTAGATCGTCCATCTGACCAATTAGTGAATCTCTATTATCTCCACAAACAATACACCAGTCCTGAGACACTAAGTTCTTTCATTCTTTTCCCAAATCACATTTTTTTTTCTGATGGCAGGGTTCACACTGACTTTCCTGGTACCTTGGTAGAATCTTGTCAGCAATCTTCTAATCGCCCCCGCCCTCCATCCACAAGTCTAGAAATAACTTATGGATGAGTGTCTACGTTAGAGAAAGTAGGTGCAAAGCACATTTAAGTATTCTTCTTGGTATTCTTCTTGGTATTCTGGGTAGGGATGTGCCCTAGTCTCAGGCAACTAATTTTATTAAAATGTTTGAATGCATTCATATGAGTCTAAATGATAGGAAGAAGAAAAAAAGTTCAGAAGCAACCTGCCCTTCACCTCATTCTCTGCATTCTCCAGGGAAGCCTGGTGTAATGGAAGGAACGAATGACTTAGAGAGCAGAACTTTCAGGCATTCTAAGCATCACTGGTTGGTTTAATAAAATTAATTAGCCTGCCACAGAGAAAATTTACTAGCACGCTGGTTAATTTCACAATGTAAAGTCAGGGAGGAGAGGTAGCACTGAGGGGACACAGCTTATTAGTTTTGAATAATTATTTAAAGATGTGGGCCCTGCCAATTTCCAACACTTTGATAGCCAATTCCGTTAGAGCTCTTAAAAGTCTGTTGCATGTGTATCCTAGCATGTATGGGAAGGAACCTCCACAGATGAAATCATAAGCACATTAACTAAAGGCAAAATAACTCATTCAAGATACAGAACCAAAGGCAGGATCCTAATAAAAAACATGGGAATAAAAACTGACCTTGGTACTGGCTCATGGGAGGTTTCTATGATCTTAATTTGCTATTGATGCAATGATTATTCTTTCTTGTCTTTTTAATCCAAACAAGATGTTTGCGGCGGCCACAGAAAGGTGCCTGGAATCACATGCCTGAATTCATTTAATTTGCTAACATCGTCCTTTTTTTCTTCTCTTTCCCTTCCTGGTAATGGGCAGGAGTCAGTTCTTCTACATCAAGTGCTAAATCTCTTCAATTACCAGCCGGGAAGAAAGATTTAAAATTGTGCCTCCAACCTCCAAACTGATTTAGTTTAAAAGCGCAAACCCTTCTCCTGTGGAGCCTAAATTAAACGACAGAGAGGACTCAAAGCCCGAAGAATTAAATGAGGCAGGGCTAACACTCAGGCCGGCCATAGGGACAATTTGGGGTTTGCTTTCAAATGAACCCCCGTGGAATGAAAGGAAGGGGAACAGAAACAAGCTGCCAGGCAGAACCTGTGTAGAAAGTGCAGGCTGCTATTGTGGGGAAACTGGGCCTGGGGTGAACATTGGTGTGGGGATCAAGTCAAAACCTTACTCCTTTCTCTCTTTTCTTTTCGACAGCCATATTTAACGTGGATGACTCTGTGGTTGACCTAGAGACCCTGGCAGCCTTGTATGAAAATGTGAGTGTCAAACGCATACGGAACTGAGTTTTTGTCTTTCTTTCTACCCTAAACATCACCGAGCTTTGGTAGTCAGGATCTGAACCCCACATAAGAGATTCAGACACAGAGATGCAGGTTTGCACGTGAAGGGTCGTGTTCTTAACTCCCACTGCAGTGTCTGTCCTAGGAGATGCCTCTGCCACCAGCAAAGCAGAGACCTCAGCTGCGCCTTGGAGCCCAGCCCTCCTGCTTGCTGACAGAGTGAATGAAAATGAGCCTCCTACTGATGCTGGCACAACCCAGTATCTTCCTCTGAGGAATAGGAATCCAAATAGCCACTTGGGTGATCGTTCTCGTACCAGATGAGCTGATGACATTAAATGCAGGGGGCAGCATTGGATGGCTATTGTGTGTTCTAGCTTTAGTGTCAGACAGTCAGTCCTAAGCTTGGGGCCCAGCTCTGTCATTGCCTACTAGGTGATCTCGGCTGGGCCAATCGTTTAAACAGCTTAGTCCTGTTTTATTCTGTTTCTATAGTACAATCCAGATTAGTGTGGGACTCTACCTGACTTGTTTCTATTGAGTAAGAATTTGATCAAGCAACCTGTGAGTTCTTCTCATGTAGCCTAGAGCACATCCCAGACAGCCAAGTCACACAGCTTGGGAACGCTGTGAATCACGTGTAAGAAACATCACTGTAATGCACAAAGTCTTTGTAAGTGGGAATAGTGAGCAGGATCCATAGGCCCTTGTGAGGTGATGATACCGGAGAATCATGGTTGCCATGTGCTCTGTTCATTGACTGTCGGGGTGCAGAAATATAGGTGAACTGGATTCTCTAAGCCATGGCAATGCTCACATAACTGCATGGGCTCCATGACACCCTGTAGTCACTCAGCGCACAGGATGCTTGAGTTAAACATGTCCGTGCATGGGGACCTTACATTTCCATAGGCTAGTATAGCCCAACGAGCTCACCAGTTTCCTACATATGCTCACATTCTTCATATATGTAAGAAATTATTTAGTCCTGAGTGAGAAGTTTTTTTGCATCCACATAGTACTCATGATTAAACCTAGAGGCTTACAAGTATCCGACCATTGGGAGTTAGTGGTGCATTTATTGAGTACCTGGAAGGCAGTGTGAGGATTCTGAATCCAAAACTCATTACCAGTATATTATTGCAAGCCTTAGGGAGTTTTCCTCTGAAAATTGAGGATTTGGTAATTGATGGCAAAGAACTCTATCAAACGAGGTGCCTTCCTGATGCTTTCTGTTGTTACCATGGTTTCAAAAGTTTGCATATGGCCAGGAGAGGAAGTCTGTACACAACTAGAAATGTTGGGTAAATTATAAGGCATGTTACTAAATGCCTAAATACGTAGTGTAAACAACACATATCTATTAAATTCAGAAAAAGTGAAAGTGGTGACTACTAATAATAGCGTGGGAAGCCCATATAAGGTAGGACCGTAGTTCTGGAGAAGAGACAGCTAAGGGCAGCATGGCCCGCCACTGCCTACAGGAGCTTCAAGCTGTCAACTCTCTCGACCTGTGTGTCTGCATGTGTGCACTTGTCACGACAGTTTACTTTAGCTAGTACCTGCCAAACGTGAACATGTTTCAGGATGATCTGGAAGGGGTTTCCAGGCCCAACCTATGGCGTTTGTTAGGCTTGAGGTGAGGCCCAAGTGATGCCAGCGCTTCAGGGTGTGGGCTCAGAAATCGATGTCTCTGGTCTTAGGCCGATTCACTTGACTGTGTGTGTGTGTTGTTTGCTTCTTTTCTCCTCCCGATGCAGCGAGCCCAAGAAGATGAACTGACTAGAATAAGAAAGTACTATGAGACCTCCAAAGAAGAAGACCTGAAGTTGCTGGACAAACCTGAACAGTAAGGAGCCTTGAATTACCTTTGGTTAGTCTGAGAGGGGATCTACGAACTCCAACTGTCCACCTACCAGCTATGAATGTCAAGTCGAAATGGTACAGAGAGCTGAGTTACAACAGCGTCCTTCTGTGCCCTATTGCATCCAGCAGGATGACTCGGCTGCCGGGAAGGCTGCTGCGATCGTGCTTTTGGATGCAGGGTGCCTCTCCCCCTGCTCTCACCCCACACCACTCCCATTTCTTTCTCGAGCAACTTAATTCCTCCTAGACTAAACATTTTAGCCAAAAGGGTAACTGAGGAAGGAAGAAGGCGTTACTCTTCTGCCTCAAGATTTGTTCATGTGTTAAGAAGATAACAGCAGAGTCACAGACCAAATTCAAACTGGTTTTCTTAAATGTCATGCTGAATGTAGCCTGAATGTGACAGGTTTCCCACAAACATCTCCTCTTTCTGTGTGGCTCACTCTTCTTTCCATTAATTCTCTCGAGTGGCTAGCTCTGGTTTACAGTGCCATCTCCCATGCTTTGAGAACTCGGACCTCTGCTGCATAGCTGAGTGGCCTCCTGTTGGCTAGACCCTTGAGGTCTGCAAGCCCCAGATGAGTTCCTGGGAGTCCCCCACAAGATATTTAGGGACTGAGACTGCAATTGTGCCCCTGGTTTGGGACTCTTGTGCCTGTTGCTATTGGGAGTGCTTCCTGTTCCATTCAAGCCAACCTTCTGCAGCCAGGGAGAGGCAGCTGCAGAAAGCAAAGAGAAAAACAAACGAAATGGAGTGTATAGCAGGCTACCCCTCCAGGCATCGAGGTTCCGTCTTATACTCTGTGCCCTCTGTCTGGATGCCGCAGACATCCCATAGACAGACCCAGAAGGAAGCATCTCTACATGACTGGCAAGGTAGTTTGTTAGAGATCCTAGGTTTACCCCAAATACTGTGCAACCTTGCTGATAACTTTTGAACCTTGGATGAAACCCTCTCATGTGGCTTTTAAAGCCGATCTGTGAAGCCTTAGAATATGTGTAGGTCAATCCAATGGGATTCCACTGCCCTTTTGTCTCATTAGCATCAGCCACCAGGCTCACTGCCTCCATCACTGCTGCTGTTGCTCACCTATGAGTCAGATTCACTGACTGTGAATTCACTCTGTTACGTCACTAATGGCCACAGGAAAAGTGATTGGCAATGAGATAGGTGGGCACTTGGCACGGCCACTTCTGGTACTTAGAGATGGTAGGGCACAACAAGCTTTTAGACAGGGCGAGTATGCCAAATTATGGGATGAAATGGTTACGTCCGGAGTTGGCAAACTGTTCCTGTAAAAGGCTAGATGATATTTTATACTTTGTGGGTGAAAGGATCTCTCATGGGTCCTCGAGTGAGCCACTGCGCTGTCGTGGTTCCAAAGCAACCATGGATAAGGCTTCGTAAGCAAAGGGACACAGCTGGACGTCAGCTTTGTATAGAATTGTCAAGATTTGAATGTCGTGTCATTTTACATGAAAAAAAAAAGCTTCTATACTTTGTGCAATCATTTAAAGTATGAAAGCCATTCTTCGTTTCACGAGTCACATACATAGACATGGCTGGCTGGGTTTGGTCCATTAGCTCTAATTTGTCCACACTCAACCCACTCAGTAAAGCCTGCCATGGACCGAGAGGATGGGGTACAATGAACCACTGATGTGAGATAAACGGCGTGTCTGCCAGGAGAGGCATCCCTCTGCCTTTTGTGGTACAGCCTCCCAGCATCATTTCTCAGCACTAATTGCCAGGGCACAGAATAATGGTGGCGACTAATTAGCGCTCTGCTTATTATCTCCAGCCACCACCCCTGATCTAGCTAGATAAGCATTTTCAAAGCTTTTGGGGGAGGGCGCGTTGTGCTGACTCCTGATCATTCACCACTATTTCTGGAGGCAAAGTTGCTTGTCCGGTGGGGCTGCTCAGGTGGCAGACAAGGCCGAGGAACTGGCATGGAGACGCTCAAGGTTCCCAGACCCGAGCAGACCTCGCCTTTGTTCTCCGTGTCTCTGAAGGCAGCTCTTGTCTTATCTATGCCAGAGTCTGGTTCTCTGGGGATTTATTTGCCACTTATTCCTAGCGAGTGGACTATAAGCATGTTTTACATACTGGGAAATATGAATCATTGAGTTTAGCATTTCAGTTTCTTAAGAGTCATGTGGTGCCCAGTCCTATAAATCACAGCATGGAGAGGCTGGCCTCATCACTCACCTCATCAGCTCTCTGACACCCCAGTGCCAGATTTAGAAAGCCGTTTCTCACAGAGGTGTCATCTGCTTGGGACCTGGCTGTCTGAGAGTCACTCCTGCCAAGGATGTTTCTTGACTCCCCTGAGATGTGTTGGTGAGGGAGGATGTGGCGCTCCTGCTTAGATCGATTGACCACTTAGGCCCAAAGCTGGCCTCCTAAGGTCTGCAATGAGGCTATTGTGCAGATCACATAGGACCTTTCACTGGGTCCACAGCTAGCCACAGCGTTTAGTGTTTTCCTTCCTGGGGTATAGGCTGCATGGTGAAATAATACCATGGATGTTACCGCTGTTGAACACATAGCTTATATCATACCACAGAGGATTCTGAGCAATGATGATAGATCACATTAGTCTCTTTTCAAAGACTGGATCACACAGCATCCTCCCACCTGTGAGCTGAGCTGCCACTGCAGCTGTAAAACCCACACAAGGTGAGCCGCAGGCCTTCTGAGCTGGAGTCCTTCCTGGGGAAATAAACCGCATTGCGTAAGGAAGGAAAGCTCGCTCGTTTGTGCGTCTGTCCTTTCTTATAGAACTAGAAGAGTTATAGAATCCAGAATGAAACTGTGGACTACCCCAACTGGAAATTAGCCCGTGAGTATTTGTAAATATGAAGGCCTACTGTGCTTGGGGGTCTGTAATGGCTTATTATCCCAGCACTTGTGGATAGACTATAGAACACAAGGAAGCAGAGGCAGAGTTCATCAGATACTTGGTTCACGTAGCCTTTGCGATGACCTTTCCTTTGAGAACTTTGCCAGACAAATGAGAAAAGAGGTATGGTGCCTTTCCTTGACCCTTTGCCTTGTGATGTTTGTGCTGAAAGTTGTGTAAAATCATATATTTGGCTCTCTGATTTTACTTCTCTGGTGTTTTAGATCTTTAAATTTGACCAAATGTGTCCAAGTCGTCTGCCTCTTCCAGCATCACGAAGGACCAGTCACTTAGGGTCTTCTTGCTCCACAGCCCCCTTATCCACTTGCCTTTCTCTGTCACAGGCCCACTCACCTTCCTCTTGCAAGGCTGTTCCCAGTTCTTCCAGCCTAAAATCTGCTAATGCTTCCAGATAGCCTCACCACTGCTATAGTTATTGTATGAAATAAAAAAATTAAAAGTATTCTCTGTCTAAAAAAAATTCTCCATTTGTTCAGAAAAAAAAAGTACATTTCAGAATATCAAACTCCATTTACTGTCCCCCAGATTCCTTATAGACACCGTCTAGCCTATCTTGGCTCACTTCTCTGGTCTTCAGGTCTGTCATTCACAGCATCATGGGGACTCAGTGACCACAGCCCACATTGCTTCCCCAAGCCTCTCATCACTGATCACACCTTTTCCACACGTCAGTAATCATGGATATGTTTTTCGCAGTATCAAAAAAGGAACCATATGTGAGCCTATCCCTGTTCCCAGGCCCTATGTATCTGTAAAGGCTTCCCATACCCCTGAAGAACTGAGCAACCACGGCCAGTGCGCTAGAACTCATTAGCAGTGATAGGTTCTATACAAAAGCAAAGCCCCTCCATCTGCTGTCTCTCCCATCCTTGAGATGCTTTGAGAACCTTCCCAGAGCAAGCCCTGATCCTAACAAGTTTCTAATCTCAGACAGCCTTGCAGTTTTACTCTGTTCTTTGTTGAGGAGCCTCTGACCCTGTTGCCACAGATGGGTCCTCTGGCTCCCCCAAGGGATAGTTAGTCGTTTTTCCTCTGGCATTCCCGGCTTCCCATCCATTCCTGGTGAGTGAGCAGAGGCACTGCTGTTTCCTCACTCGTGTGCCGTCTGTGGCTGCTCCGCTACTGTCTTCATCTCAAGGAAGGCATTTACCTAGTCCAGAGAACACGGTCCTACACGGGGTATAAAGAGATGACGTGGTTACTTGGGGGAGGGGAGAAATGCAAGGCATTTTCTAGAATCGCTCTCAGCATCTAAAGGAGCCAGCCTTCCCAAACTCATCACAGAACCAAATGCTACCAGTCCCCAGAGATGTTTACTGCTGACCCTCTGCGAAACTGGCGACAGCTCTGAGGTCGCTGGTGATAAATGACTCTGGTCAATGCTGTACTGTACTTAGGAGGGAACAATTTAGAAAGGAAGGGCAATTACTTTCTTCCTGTCCCTCAGCAACACTTCTGTGTTCTGTTAAATGCTGTAGTATGTAGTATGTAGTGTGATGATAGCTGCATGCACAGAACCTGAAGGAAAGGGAGTGCTTTCTCTTTTGAGTTCTTCTTGCTTCATTTCCAGCGTATTTTCAAAGGCTGGGACAGGGGAAAATGACAACTAGGACCTGGCTGGGGGAGTTAAGGAAAGTAGCTGATTAAAAAAATGTATTAAACCTTACCAGGGCATAGTGTTTTACAACTATTATCTCAGTACTTGGGAAGCCAAGTCAGGGAGATTGAAATTTTGAGGCCACCTAAACTCCAAGTAAGCTATAAGCAAGACCTTGGCTCAGAAACAAAGCACACAACAAAAACAAACCAGACTTCTAAATACACCTCCCCACATAAACCTGTGAAAGGAACAGAATATCGGGCAGGAAAACAAACTTAGGGACAGAAAGGAGCATAGAAGCAGGGGTGGTGGTACAGCCTTTTTATTCCAGCAACTGAGGATGCTGAGGCAGGAGAATGGCGAGTTAGAGACCAACCTGACCTCCATACTATGACTCTGCCAACAAAAGAGAGTTGACCCCTCCCCCCTTTTCCTCCTGTTCCTATGCCCTATCTGCTCCTCCAGCTCCTCCAGCTCCTCCAGCTCCTCCAGCTCCTGGTCTTCCAGCTCCTCCTGCTCCTGATCCTCCAGCTCCTGGTCCTCCTGCTCCTCCTCTCCATCTCTTGCTGCTCCTTCTCCTCTTTCTCATCTGACACAGAGAATAACAACTGTATTCATCTGCAAAAGTACATTTGGTGGAAAGCTGTAAAATTTCAAAAAGCGATAGTGTTATAAATTGACCAAGACCTTCAGAAATATCAGGTAATAATCATTTCAACTCCAGACTGAAATTAAGGGCTGTTAGTGGATTCTCCCCCTTTCTGAGTTCGTAGCCAACTGTCTCAACTCATATTACTTTATACCCTTTCCTGTGGCGGTTGGCCTCAAAAGCACGAGGCTCTTCCAGCTTCATTTCGCGGAAGACACCAGTGCCCAGCCACTCAGACAGTGAGCCACTGTGTGGAGAGCAGTAACCAATTTTGACTCTTGAGAGTTGTTTGGCCAACTTTTTAAAGATTTTTAGGGTGTCTACTTTATTTATGAATTTCTGCTTTTTACTAAGTACTGAGCTGCCTATCGACTGTACTTATGTGGGTCAGTTGACCCAAAGGGTGAACAAATACCTGGAAAACTAGATCACTATAGACTGTTATATATAACTGAGCAAAAAGAACAGCAGTCTCATTTCAATAATATCTTATCATTTGACTATAGATTTTTTTTCAAAACCTTCAGTTTGTTCTGCTTATGATGATACACTTTTTAGAGAATGCTACATGATACAGGAGTTGACTGTCATTTTCTCATGCCGTTAAAAACCGGGGCTTTCCATTTGGGTTCGGCCTCTCCTCTGAATAGCAGGAGAAAAATAGTGCTTTCAGAATCCTTGCATAAACCCTCAGCTCATCCGCATTACTCAGCATTGCAGGAATTCAGCGGAGACCCTGCTGTCAACAGTGGAGCAGATACCCTTCTAGCTCCTTGAGTCAGCCCAACTGATTCCCTTTAGAAATCCAAATGGTGACTGTTCCCTCTGGTCGATCCATATCAGCCCTCTTCCTTAACTTCTCCCTATGACTATGCAGAAAGCAAAATTATTCGTTTTTATTTTGACAGGTTCCTGCATGAGTTAGCCCAGATTCCCAATTTTGCTGAGCGTGCCCAGTGCATAATCTTCAGGGCTGTGTTTTCCGAAGGTGTCACTGCCTTACACAGAAAAGTAGAGATTGTCACACGAGCCTCTAAGGTATGTTTAGGCCTGTTTGGGGGAGGTGAATAGGACCCAATGTTAGTGTCTTAATGAATGGAAGTCATCTGTACTTTAAGGGAAATGTGGTGTTTGTCCTGCCCAAGGTAGGGAAGAAAAGAACAAGGGAAATCTAAACTGAAGAAGAGAAGAAAGAGGGAAAAATAATGCTTTTTGTAGATTCTTTAAAAAATTGTCAATACCTCACCATGTATATACTGGCCACCCAAAACTAAAATCAAAACAGAATAGCTTGATTCCTGTTCAACTTTCCAAATCACAAAGAGATTTTACTTGAAGCCCATGCAGGCGATCACCTGAAATCTGTTTATATCATAAATGACAGCATTCTGGAGACTTGAATTAACTAAATGCGATGGTGAGTGGTTGCTACATCCATTCTGTGTCTACCACACTCTGTACTTGGGAAAGCTCACATCTGACCCCCAGCCTTTTCACTTCCACCCATGTTCTTAAGATCATGGTGCAGGTATGTTTCATAAACGCTGTAACACTCCACTGTTTGCCAGGAGGCGTGACTCCCCTCCCCACCCCCAACATATAAGGGAGCTTTCAATGAAGAAAGAAAATCCAGTACCAACATATTATACTAGTAACTGCTGGGAGACCAGGGCAGAAGTCTACCTCGGTCTGAATTTGGTTTTTCCTTTTATGCTAAAATCAAAGAAGATAAAGCTACACTGACAAGATAGCTCAGTGGGTAAGGAGCCTGCCACCAAGGCCAATGATAGGAATTTGAGCTTCAGGGTCTGCATGGTGGAAGGCAAGAACCAGTTCCTGCAGGTTTTCCTCTAACCTCCCAGTGCTTGCACACCCCCTGTCGACACCACCCTCCACACACAAGGAAATGTAAATTTAAAAAAGACGATAAAGCGAATTAATAGTGTAGAAAACTTTCCTTTGAAAGTTTGCACTTGAAGCAAATATTACGAGAGGAAAAAAAAGTAAATGAGAGGAAGTTAAGGAAAACTCTTAGCAGCTTAACATTGAGGAAGTTAATAAATGTGAAACAAGTTCCCAGAGAAGGTACAGTTGAAAGAAACTTACATAACCTCTGACCTTAAAGTGCATTATCAAAATTAATCTCTGAGGATTTTGCCTATTCTTGGTATTGTGTCTACTCTAAACTTGACTATATCCTTTGTATTTAGTCTATACTTCCAAGAGAGATCCTAAAAAGATAGCTGACCTTGTTCAACTTAAAATTATCAAAAATTAACTTCATTCTCTCTTATTAACCTATAAGTACTTTAACATATTAACCTTAAAGCTGCCTAAAATGAAAAATAAACCGAAAGGTTCAGCCCTCATTATTATAACTTTGTTCCATTGTAGGAAGTTTGTGGCTGTTGGTACTCCCCCACCCGGAAGATGCCACTCAGTGAAACGTATCTTATATTTGCCAACTCTTAATACAACTGGTTACAAGCCACTTAACAGGGCTTGGTTCCTTTAAGAAATGTTTGCCGTTGAGCAAACATGACTGTGTTTAGAGTCCAGACCATAATACCCGGTGTTTGCCTTTGCAGGGCTTGCTGCACATGAAGAGTGTGAAGGACATCTTAGCCCTCATCCTGGCTTTTGGAAATTATATGAATGGAGGAAATAGGACTCGAGGGCAAGCAGACGGATATGGTTTAGAAATTCTCCCCAAACTCAAAGACGTCAAAAGTCGGGTATTTATTTACTTTTCATACTGAATGTATACGTGCTATGGTTAATTCTCTTATGAACCTTTAATTTAAAACAAAGTATTACAGACTGGTCCATTTATCTTATCTTTCTTCTAACAGCAATAATTTATCTGAAAGCATGCACTTTTGTTTTCTGCTTCTGTGCTTTGTTTTGACTTGAACCTGTGGTTTTGTTGTTTTTTCATATATATATATATATATGACCTCATTTTCAATTATAAAATATATCATATGTTTTGGTTCTAACATACATGATTAGACATTGAAATACTACTGCAATACAAGATAAAACAGCATAGAGTATTAGTCATAGTACGGAGACTAAAATCTGAACTTAGTATTGCCCACTTGTAATTTACTCATTCTTGAGTGGCAGACGCTGTTGAGCCTAGTATTTGAATTATTCTTTTGCCGGCAACAATTGGGGCTGGGGTCTCCTGTCAGCTCTCTGAGCCTGATTATCATTTGGCTCCACACCCCTGCAGAGCCACCCTTTTAGAAACAACCAGCCCATATCTGGGCGTCCCCATGGGGGCAGGGGGCGAGCAGGGAAGGGAAATACACAGGCAAATTAGAATTAGACCCCTGTGAACAGGACACAAAGGCTGCCTTGTGGGAGGGCCCACTCCCCCTGGCCTTCCAGGGTCATAAAGTGGCCTGGCTTTCCTTTTAAGCTGGCCCTGATTGTTTTTCACGCCATTAAGGAGCACACATTTTCTGAGAGGTAGGAAGGGTGGGATGATTTGCTCTTCTAGTCCACAGCCCCCTTTGGCATTTCTCACCCCCTCCTGTCTTGGCAGTGTGCCAGGAAATATGGGGTAATGATTTTTGATTGTTTGTTTGTTTGTATATTTGTCTTAGCCCTTACCTCAAAAGTCTCCTGGAATACCTGTTTTGTGTGAGTTTTCCTCGCTCATGGTGTAGTGTCATTTCTTTTTATAGCTGGTATTAAACAAACAAACAAACAAACACAAAAACAAAAACAAAAACAAAAAAATAACCTGAAACTCAGGAGGAAGGAAATTCTGGTCATTCTGTAGCAGAAATTGCACTCTGTCTCACAAATGTAAGCGTCTTGAGCTGGGTTTTCAGTGTTCGCCCAGCCAGCATGCAGGGTCTCCTGTGAACTGTTGTCATTTGAGTTTCTCTTTGAACCCTAGGACAATGGCATGAACCTGGTGGACTATGTCGTGAAGTATTATCTGCGGTACTATGATCAGGTAGGAAACGAGAAAATGGCACCGGGCACACGGTTTCAGGGAGATTTCACTCTAAAGACTCGTTAGCATTCAGGTACTGGATACTGGCGATATGGAGGGATGGCGTTCCTCTGCCCAGCTTTGTATCTGAGAGCTCCCCAAAAGGCAAGAGGTACACTTGGGTTATAGAAAAGGAGGTGTTAGGAAGGCGAGAGGCTGCTGAGTCTGAGTCTGCTGGTTTCAGTAGATCCCTCATTGCCTCGTGACCACATGGTGGGGTTTTCTGGACTCTAGATTCATTCAGGAGCTGGCCAAGTGGAAACTGAATTCTGAGATACTGCTCAACATTGAGGAAATAAAAACACTGTAGACGTTTTCTTATTTGTTCCTATTTTATGTTATTTGTGTTTGCCTGTGTGAGTTTATATGCACCACATGTGTGCAGGATCCTGCAAAGGCCAGAAGAGGTGCCAGATCCCCTGGAACTGGAATCACAGCAGTTGGGAGCTGCCACACTGATGCTGGGAATCCAGCCTGGGTGCTCTCCAGCCTATTTTGTTTGGGGGACAAGGTCTTGCTAAGTAGCCTGGGCTTACCTGAAACTCGCTGTGTAGACCAGGCTGGACTTGAACTCACTCTGCCTGCCTCTGCCTCCTGAATGCTAGAATTAAAGCCCTGTGTGTCACTCCTACCATAATGACCAAAATTCTACCAACAATACATCTGGGAACAAGCTAGAGGCGTTAAATTTGAGAATAGAACAAAACAAGAACATGTTCTCATATATTTAAATTAGAATTAAGCACCTCTTTGAGAATATACCTGAACACAAGTTTTCGTTATTCCTGCTTTTTGGACTAAGTACAGAGAGTCCTCACCTTGAGGAAGAAGGAAGACTGTCTGCTGGTTGTTGAAATTGATACAAAAAGACAAAAATCTCGAAGTTGAGGGGACCGCCTTCCAAAGGGGTTGAGACCCACAGGTTGAGAACCACTGCTGTGGTAGATTTCCGCCTTTGTGTGTGGTTCCAGTAACACTTTTATACTCAGAATCGAATGGATCCCTACTTCAAGGGAATCAAGACCCCAAACTCTGATGTTCACCTGATTGGAGCTATCTATGTCTCAAGCCTTTTTTTTTTTAAAGGGATTTATTTATTTTTATTTTATGTGTATGAGGTTTGCTTGCCTGTGTATACATATACTACATGTATGCCTGGTGGAGGCCAGAAAATAGTGTCAGCATTGGATCTTCTGGATGTAGGTTACAGGTTGTGAACTACTGTATGTGTGCTGGCAAATGAATCCAGGTCCTCGGCAAGAGCAGCAAATGCTCTTAACCGTGGGGCCATCCCTCAAGCCGCCTCAAGTCTTCTTATAAAATTTTGCTTCATTATTATTGTTATTATTATTATTATTATTCCTATCAAACACATTTGGGGTTCTTAGGGAAAAACTCCCCCACGACATTATTTTGTGGGCTTATTTGAGGAAATGCAGATCCTTATAAAGAAACTGCATAATTTTATATAAAGAAAGACCACACTACTGATCGGCAAGTATACCAAAAAAAATGTTCAGCATTACTAATCAATAGTCACAGCCATGGTGAGATGTCCCAATACAACCATTAGGTCAGTCGGTGTAGAAATAAAAAGGCATTGCCAGGTTAGGGGCCACTTAGAGCTCTTTGGCATGGTTCCTGAGAATGTAAAATGGTGCAGGTGCTATGTAAATCACATTTGGGCAATCCTCAAGGAATTAAAAACAAAACTAAAGGTTGATCCAGCAGTCTGACAGGGGATACCTTTTCTTAGTTCATACATAGGTACTAAGTGAGCTAGCAAGATTTCAGTCTTCCCAAGTCAAAATCTCTAAAAATATGCACAAGTTTTCTAGGCATTTACAGCTGAAGACTAACGTTACTGTTCTGCTTATGATAATAAGAGCAAAAATGCTTGAAATTTTTTGTAGGTATTCAATGATTAACAATAGAGTCAAATGAATCATGGTATAATGGTCAAATGGAATAGCATACTGCTGTGGAAAGTGTTTAGGACACAATGTAGTATCCCTGGAAAATATTCTGCCTTTAAGTTATATACATGCATAAAAGTGGCCATAATATATGGCCTTTAATATAATATGGCCTTTAATCCCAGCAGGGAGGCAAAGGCAGGTAGAGCTCTTAGTTCAAGGAGAGTTGGTCTACTAAGTGAGTTCCAGAACAGCCAGGGCTATCCAGGGAAACCCTGTCTTAAAAAACAAAGGGAAATTATATATGTATGTGTTTCAAAATTATACATACATACATATTTAAAATAGGTGGATGTAAGTGTAACACTAACTCAGAGAAAGCCTGGAATGAGATACGTTTCATTATTTGGGGATGTTAGAGTTATGATTAATTTTTAATGTTCATTTATGAAGCATAATTAATGTGCATCTGAAAAAGTGAAAACTATAATAAAACAATCATTCAGTCCAATGCTTCATGCCCCCTCACATCCTGTTCCTTAAAAGAAATCTTCAGCACACCCACCTTGGACGCCTGGGTGAAGATTCTGTGAAGGTCTCCAACAATCTCTTTTGCTTCTTCTGTGGATAGTGTCCAAATTGTCAGTGATCTTGACATTGCTCCTTGAGAGCCAGAATTTGCTGCTAACTTTTTAGTGTCTACCAGGGAGGTATCCAATAAGCATTACCATGTGAACTAATATAAATATTATCAAAAGTAGAATAAATTGGCAGATGTAAAGAACTAGATGTGAGAAAACAGTCTTGCTTTTCTGGAGAGAGGAAGATGTGTTGATCTTCAAAAAAAATTAGCAGCAGAAGGCACATCTGAGCATACTCCAATTTCTGTCAGCAAGTACCCACAGGATAGAATTACCCTGAGGAAACTTGGCAGGTGACACTTCTAACCCTAGATCCACAAAACACAGATGCCTCTAGCCAGTCAGCTGTTCCACAGATAGACTAAAATTAGTCCAGGATGCAATGGAATTGACTTTGTGGAAGAAACTATGATCAGAGAGGTTGCAGATTTGGAATGAGCCCATCCACATTTGTGTAGTGCTGTCCCAGTACTCACTGAAGAATGCATTGCACTCAAAGGGGAGTGTGGAGTTATGTGGTTTTTGAAGCTCCTTGCCCTTGGCACTGGGTCCAAGTCTAGGTCTGTGGAGTCTGAAGAAAATCATCCGTCTCCATGGGCCTTGATTGGACCTACTGACTGGACCCGACAGGCTGATTCATCATCAGTGCTTTCTCTTTTTCTACCTTGTGACAAAAATGGAAATCATGGTCAAGTTGGACACAAAGCTTACAAAATATTATACCAGAATTCCTCCAGTGTGGGTTCCCGTGGGGCTTTGTAGGGTGCACTTTAGATGGCTTTTCACTTTTCGTCAGATTTGACATTCACAGTCTTCCATTTGTTTTTAAAGTAGAAAAATAAGTATCAGAAGATGGGGAAATTTGGGTGGCTTAAGTACTGATGAAATGAGGAGAGCCACCTTCCCCAAGCATCCAAACGAAAGACTTAGAACAGTGGCTTCTCAACCTTCCTTATGCTGCGACCCTTTAATACACTTGAATTATTTTCATTGCTGCTTCATAACTGTAATGTTAATCCTCTTATGAAGCATAATGTAGATATCTGTGTTTTCCGATGGTCTTAGGCAATCCCTGTGAAAGGGTCATTAGGAAAATATAGTCATAAACTACATGTCCAGTCCAGTGGAGTGGTCAGCTCTAAGCAGGACTTCTCTATCACGCTATGTGCACAAGATTGGCGCAAGGTGAAGACAGCCAATATCCCAGTGTGGACTGTGGGCTGGGGCTGGGGGTCCAAAAACTCCCACCCTTTACTGACAAGACCCTGGAAATTGATGGCTGCTGCGAGAGAATTGTTTTTCTCCAAGGGTGAAGCCACTGAGAGCCTCCCCATGCTCTAGTAGATGGTCCTACATGTCTGCACATATAGACAGCACTAAATGGACTCAGTACTCTGAAAACGTGAAAAGTTGACAAAGGAAAGTAGATTTAGTAGAAGGGGAAAACTGTGAAGACCATAGTAATGGGGAGTATACCTTATACATGTATGAAGTTATTTAAAAACTACTTATTATTAAACTAGTTAGGTGTCTTATGGTAAACTTGCAGACTTCACAAAGCAATATTTCCAGAACTGTCTGTTGTGGTGCATTTACTGATATATCAGTTACTATTTCAAGAACAGGAAAGAGTCCCCGCCAATGATGTGCTTATATTCTAGTGGCACACCAGACAATCTAATGTTATAAAGTTTAAATTAATAGCAATAAGTGCCATGGTAATAGGATCAAACACTCTTGAAAAGCAGAGAGAAACACCCAGGTTTGGTGACATCCTGAAAATCTTTGAGGAAGTGATGTTTGTGTTAAGCCTTGAAAGACGAGTATGAACAAGGAGCTATGAGCAGATTCTAAGGAAATGGAAAAGAACAGCTTTGTAGACAAGGGCCCAGAGGCAAGAGACTGCCTTGCTCTCTTGTTTCATGAAAGTTTGGGCATAGGACCTTACTTTGGGGGAAGTAGGTCTAAGGCTGGTGCTGTAGACAGAGGGCGGATCATAAAATGCCTCGTAAAGCACTTTCGGCATTTGGAATTAGTCCTAATGGCACTCGGAAAGATGGAATGTGAAGGCAAGCTGGCAAAGGAGCGTGTGCTCAGAGAGAAACAATTGGAGGCAAAGATACGCACGATAGCAGCTTACATTAAACAACTCAGGAGAAAGCAGCCTAGGCTGCAGAAGATATTTAAGGCTCCGCTTATGTTTCAGTATGCCTGGAGTATCTGTCCCTTAAGATAATTTACAGCTCAGATCATCCATCAGATAGAGCTATGGACCTTGTCAAAACCATGCTCAACCATGCCTGCCATGAATACCTCCTAAGATAAACCGACAGCATTTACATAGGCTTTATGCACACATTAAAAAAAATAGGATTGTACACACACACACCAGAGTTTAGGCTGCAGAAAGGGTGAGTAAAGGAAGGGGGTAGCATCGCCCACTCAATGTCTTCTTGGCCAGTCCACACCCACTGGCACACCCCTAGATGGGTTATCTGATTGCTAGCATGTGTAACTCAAACAGGGACTTTCAATGTAAGTACTTTCATATGCTTGCCCTGTCTTTTTCCATGGGAATAGGGAAAAGCAGATGAGAATCTACCTGGCAGTTTCCTCTTCCATCCACAAGGCATGAGAGAAATGCTGCCCATGCCAGCACCATAGCTAATCTCAACGCCAGGAAGACCGAAACGATACTGTGAGATCCTCAAAGTCTTCAAAGTACGGAGCCCTAGTTTAACAGAGCAGTGCCCTGATTGCTATAGAATCACTCGACTGAGCTTGTTCTTTTCTGACCGATGCTATGAAATGTCAACAGAGGCGACAAGCGGGAAGTAGAATATTGTTCTTCTGGTTACTTTGTTTTGTTTTTTTCTATTTTTTTCAATGTTTGTTTTATGTGTAACTAGCGTTTTGTCTGCATTCATGTCTTTGCGAGGCTGTCAGAGCCCCTGGAACTGGAGTGAAAGTTTGAGCAGCCATTGCAATTGCTGGGAATTGAACCTGGGGACTCTGGAAGAACAACCAGTGCTCTTAACTGCTGAGCCATCACTCCAGCCCTGTGCTTTTCTTTGCCCTGTCTTTTAGGAAGCTGGAACAGACAAGAGTGTTTTCCCACTACCTGAACCACAAGATTTCTTTCTGGCCTCCCAAGTCAAGTTTGAAGACCTCGTAAAAGATTTGAGAAAACTGAAGCGACAGCTGGAAGGTAATGGGATGATTGCAAGGGTGGCTTATCAGAACAGCTTCATCTGATGGCTGGCTCCCCGAGTGGGTTGGTATGGAGCTCTCCCATGGGCTCCTGCCGCTATCATGGGACATTCCTTCTCGGGGCAGTGTTTGCCGGCAGTAAATCCACCGATTCCTTTGATTTAGTTGTTGAGCATTTGGCATCTCAGTGTCTTGCCATATTGGTGTCTGCTCCTGTGTGCTCACCTGCTTGTGTTTGGAGGAGTTTGCATGCAGGTGTATGGGGAGGCCAGACACCTCGGGTATCAGCTCTCAGACATAGCCCATCTTGTCGGCTTAGGTTTTGGTTTTGTCTTTGAGACCGGATCTTGTTGGTTTAGTTTTTGGTTTTGTCTTTGAGATCGGATCTTGTTGGTTTAGTTTTTTGGTTTTGTCTTTGAGACAGGATCTCTCTGTGACCTGAAACTCGCCGAGTAGACTATGCTGGTTTGCCAACCAGTCTCAGGGGCCTTCCTACCCTCCTCCTCCTGTGCTAAGATTGCAATTGTGCACCACCATACCCGCTTTTTAAAAACAGGTTCGGGGTTCAAACTTGGGTCCTCATACTTACAAGGCAAACACTTTCCTACTGAGCTATCTCCCCTGCTCCATATCTGCCTTCTTCTAATATTCAATAGTTATAGCATTAATGATAACGGCTGCTTATTGCAAGCATGCCGTATTCTTATAATAACTATGATAAGCAGAAATCTTGTGGTTCAGGTAGTAGGAAAACACTCATTCATGCACACATGCTCTAACTCTATACTTTGTCTTGAAACTACTCTATTGATGATAAAAGAAAACCCCACAGTAAATGTTCTATTTCAGCTAAATATATAATTAATGACAGTATCCCAAAGCCTAAAAGCCACATTTTTTACTTTTTAGAAGGTAAAAGTATGTGTCTCTTGGGCAGGGATTTTCCTTTGGCATCTTTCGAGGTCTGTGTTTTCACTGTGGAGACATCTCTTTGTCCAAGAATATAAATACCAGCCATGGCACTGCTGTGACTCCAGTGGAAGTGTTCTATGGAAAATTTAGGGAGTGTATTAATATGGAAATGGTACTCCCGGGTACCAGAAGGAGAGCCGGAGGAAATGAAGAGCTTCAACCAGGAATAGTTTTATGTTCAAACATAAAATAAACATTTTTAAAATGTTTATTGTGAAAGAGTATTCCAAAACCCCAGTCTTCAGCTTTAGGCCACCCGGGACATGGAAGCAAAGTGGGAAAGATGTGCTCACAGTGTCAGAGGGAGTCATTTATATTTATTTTGGGCATAAAACTTATTCAAGTAAATTTAGTGGTTGCAAGTTAACGTTTTTAATGTTGTAAATTATTTTTAAAGGAACCTGCTGGTTCTATCTCACACCCACTCCCACTGTTGATGTGGTTGGGAGAATGAGTTCAACCAAATGAATCCTTAGAACAGGAATCTTATATGTGAACTTGGAGTTATTTTTTTCTCTTTTCTGTCACTGACAGTTTTCTCTTTATCTTTGACACCAGCTGAATATGTACTGTAATAAAACAGAATAACAAGCCATCCCATGGAGTATTCTCTATACTCTTCCAGAGGTAGAGTTAGGAGATAGGGATCTCTCAGGATGGCCATGAGTGTCCATAGTGGGGAATGGGGTCACACGATGTGGGCTGTCCCTTCAGGCCCAGTCTTCGTTCTGTCCCTCTGCCTCGTGTAAAGCCCCTGGCCTGACCCTTCATAGATGTTTGAGAAGAAACTTGATCTCTGTTTGATCTTTCCCTCTCCTGCCAGGGGCTGCCTCCCTCATGGCTGTCCTTGTCCAAGTGAGCTGGATGATAAATAGCAAAGGGACCGGAGGAGAGTGCAGGGGCGGGGTCCCCAGGGCATCTCACTCTGTCTAGGGATGCTGCTGAATGTCACTCTTGCCTCCCCATCTCCACTGACCATTTTCTCAGTCACTCCAGGGACCCAGGTGAGCTTCTGGAGCTGGCGGGCCAGCTTTAGAAAACACGGAGCAGCACCTGAGTTATTTTCCTTAAGCGGGGCTTCTCTCAGAGACACGAAGTCCCACAAACACAGAGGAGAGAACACCACCCCCCACCCCACACACATTGAATATTTAAACAAAAATGCCCTGCTAATCTTTAGAGATGCCAGTGTTTTTAACACATGAAAGGTACTCAGTAAATATTTAAAGAAATACAGAGCCTGGGTTCTCTAATGAATTTCTTTTTCTTCTAAATAGCATCTGGTGAGATGGCCAGGATCACAGCGGCCCGTTTCATCTCCCGTTCCCATTCAGCTTCACCTCCCTTTCCATAAGGCCTTGGTGTGAACCCAGATTGAATGTTTAATTGAGGAGGACATAATTTTCACACATACAGCAAAGATTTGATGAGGCTTTGAGGTTTATTGTAGCCATTAAAATGTCGTAGCTGCTGGCAAAATCCCAGAAAATGTCTAAAGCTAAACCAGATGTGATTAGCAAGTTTCAAGTGCTGTCAGGCCCCAGGTCTCTGGACAGGCATGGCACCACCCTATAGAAAGAAATCTTTTTGAGTAGCACTAACCACACCTTGCCTGAAAAGATGTAAATGGTGATGAAAAGATACGACTGGTGGGCATACAAATATCACTGATGTGAGTCTCAGGGGTAGTCAGTAAAAATCTTCCTGAAAGACAAGACTCATTTTTGTTCAAGTAAACACAGAGAGATTGATGATAACATGCATTGAAATTTACTGTGTGATTGTTATTCTTAGATTTTTTACATGTAGCATATCTTTTACCCCTTGCAATGATTCTATGGGATTAGTTTTCCTTTTGACTTTTCACAAGATAAGGAAACTGATGTTCTTGGTGTTGAAGTAACTGTCTGTTGGCTCAAGGGTGATGATCTAGCCATGCTCTGAAACTGGATATGATGCAAGGACATAGCTTCACATCCTGCTTGTGCCTTAGGCGGCTTAAGTTAGACCTTCATGTGGCAGTGCCACATTCACTGGCTGACAAACCCTAGTTCCTTCTGTTGCATGTGGGTGTGGGTAGGGCAGCCCAGGGGCTTTCTCTGAGACAGAGACACACCCCTTACTCCCCCCCCCCGCCACCACACACACACACACACACACACACACACACACACACACACCATGCATCCTTGACTTCACAGTGAGCTTTCTGGCTTCCACCTAATACCTTTACTTATTTTCTCCATGTTATGGTGTAGCCAAGGATTTCAAAATTAGTTTCTTTATTGTGTGCATTTCCCGCCTCTGGACTCCCACATGGAGGGAGAAGCTGTATTCAGAACTCCTTCCTCCACGACCACAGTAGCTGACTGTTTAATTCTCTAACTTGTTTAGATTTTAATCATGTAAGATGGCAAAGACTTTTTCTTATATATGGACTGTAGATACCCAAAATGTGTGGGGTAGACTACTGTGAATGAGAATGTTTTGCCCCGAATTTGGTAATTTTCACTACAAGTGCTCAGTGAAGCGTAAAAAGAAAAGAACTCAGGCTATGGAGTCAGATGTGTACTTTTTACTGGTGAAAGAGAAATCTTATGAAGTAGTGTAACTATAAAGTTATTTGGGGAGAAGGTGGGTAGCTCAATGGTTGTGTATATGCTTAGCATCAAATGGCCCTGGGCTCACTCCTCAACACATGCGCACGTGCGCGTGCTCACACACACACACACACACACACACACAAGAGGGGGAAAGGGAGAGAGAGAGAGAGAAAGAGATAGAAGAAGGGGAGAGAGAGGGAGAGAGAGAGGGAGAAAGAGAGAAGAAAAAGAGAGAAGAAAGTAACTAAAATATTCAATTTCAGCTGGATTTGGTGGTTCATGCTTGTAATGTTAGCACCTTGGAGACTAAGGCAGGAAGGTTGCCTGGACTTGCAGGCTAGCCACAGAATGAGACATTATCAAGAAAACAAAACAAGACCCACTTCATTTTCTTACTGGGGAGTCATGACAAATAGCACCTGCATCATGGGAAACAATGAATAATCGGCTCTTTTGATTATGACAATTAGAGATGTGTCCCTTTTACCATTAAAACTGTAACCTATAATATTGGCCCCTACTGGTTTAGGACTAGCTGGCTGTGATGGGGTTATCTCGTTGGCAGAGTACTTAACCTTCCCTTGTGAAGACAGAGCCAAGTCTTGATGCTGATGAACATACAGTTAGTTGACTCTACATCCCTCAATCAGACAATGGTTTTGATTTCCTCGGTATTATAAGAATAGTTGAGAAAGAGAAAGCATCCGTTGTCTTTCTTACTCCTAAACCTTGTCCGCTGGCCAGGACTCTCAGGGTATAATAATAATGCCCCTACACAGTAATGTTCCAAGCCTGATCCCTACAATCTGTGCTTATGTTACCTTACATGGGAAAGGGGCACTTTGCAGAGGCTGACATGGGAAGATTATTTGGGCCTGGCCGAGTGGAACTAATCTTATCACATGGATCTTTAAAATAAATCTTTAAAAGCCGAAAACTTGCCCTGGCTGTGATCAGAGGGAAGGATAACTACAGAGGAATGATCAGAGGGACGCAATGTTGCTGACTTTGACAATGGAGGAAGTGGGCAGTGGGCCAAGGAATGTAGACAGCCTGTAGAACTGGAAAAAGCAAGGAACCCACCCTCTCCAAAGCTTGCAGAGGGGAATAGAGCCCTCTCAATACTTTGCTTTTAGCTTAGCTAAGAGTAAAGCACGTCTACCATGCAGAACTCTTAAGGTGTATTTTGTTGTCTCAAGTCACTTAATATTGTGCTGATTTGTTATAATGGCAACAGGAAACAAGTGTATCATACCATGGGTCTCTCTCTCTCTCTCTCTCTCTCTCTCTCTCTCTCTTTCTCTCTCTGATTCTACTTGATACATCCATCCCTACACACGCACACACACACACTCATAGACACACACAGCCTAACTGAAGTCATAGTTGTAGGATTCCCCAAGTAGAAGCATCAATAATGTTC